AAAAAAAAAAACCACGTAAATGCCTACAGTATAATTTATGGTAACTATGTATACAGGTGCATATGGTGCAAATTTAAATGAGTATGTGTGTGTGATGGCATAAGAAACTGAAAGACATCCTACACATACCTGCTGGCCTTTGAAACAGATGTTTTTCATAAAACACTGACTCCTGCTACGCCCTTTCTGGCCTTTCCCAGGGGTGTCACTGCCACCCCGGATAAAACTCTGCACTACCCATGAGTAAAAAAAATTCCATCCTAAATAAAATCTTACTTTAGCCTCAATCAGCTTATTATTTTTACCCAAATCCCTTTATGCTGCTAAACAGTCAGGAACATTGAGTATTTTCTGTCTATGGGATAAATTTAGCTCATTCTTTTAGTAATCATTTTTGAGTGTTTATTCTTCTTGGTTTAGTTTGGTTTTTGGGGGGCAGTGTTGAGACAAGGTCTTGCTATGTAGTACAGACTGACCTTGAGCTCATGGTAATCCTCCTGTCTCAACTCCCCAAATGCTAGGATTATAGGCATGTGCCACCATGCCTGGTAGGGTGCTAATTGAAGGAAATCTTACAAAGTATTTTCTGGGTGATCACATACCAAGTTTGTGTGGTATCAAGTTCCTCCTATATTGTGATAAAGCTGTGTCTCTTGTACCTGTTGTAGCATTACAGCAAGAAAAAGTGCTTTTATTTGCATGATTCAAATTTAAGGAATACGTATTCTCAGTAATTATTACTGAAAGTCACCTTAAGGTGAGGGTATCTGTCATTTTACATCTTTGTTATCTACAGGCTAAAGATCGAATTCAGTATTACCAACTAGATGAAGTCTTTGTTTTTCCTTATGATATGGGAAGTAGATGGAAGAACTTTAAACAGGTATTTACATGGTCAGGGTTCCCTGAAGGAGATGGATTGGAGTGGCCAATAAGAGACGGATGTCACCAGTATAGCTTAACAGTGAGTATTTTTATTTCAATAGTCCTACTCCTTAACTCAGTGTTATTTTGTAGTAATGTAATCAATGTAAATGTTTTCATTGATTCAAAGTTAATCTAATTTAATATTCATAAACTGTTATATCATGAGTCTTCCGTATGTAACCCTCTCCTAAAATCCCCAGACCTCTTTGGTTAAAGTCCTGACTCTTTGACTTAGTTTTATAGAATCTGGCTGAAAATTGCCTTTCAAACTACAGAGTTATATAAACTTTTCATACATTCTTACCACCCAGGTTTGCCCATGGTATGTCTCCATCTCACATGACTTTTCTCTCCGCCTTTAAGACTACTTCCAATCCCACCTCTTCCATATTACCTGGTGTTAATGTAGGGGTTGGCAGCTCTTGAGGGGTTAATCTCGTCCTAAGCCAAAGAAGCTTTAGTTTAGTAACCAGTTCACCTTAGAAATAGGAGAAACTGAGGCAGAATCAACTCAGTGTGACCCTTCCTGGAAGGTTTTAATGATAGGATGACACCCAAGCCAAGTCACCCCTGTGTAACCCTGCCTCAATTGCCCTAATCCTTTACTCCTTCCTCAGCCTTGTTAAAACTCCATAAACATGTGAAAGAGGTAAGGACAGAAGCAAAGCTAACTAAAGGAAGTAGAGTTAAACCATATGTTGCCATAAATTCCCATGCCCAGGCTGTAACCTATTCTGGTGACAGCCTGCCAAGCCCTACGCTGGTAACCACGGCATTCCATCATGGTCACCCTGGCAACCAGGGCAAGTATATAGGCAAAAGCAGAACAAAGAACTAGGCCAAGCATGATTCCATTTCTATCTGTATGGGTCCCGCGCTTGGTCACCAACAATAAAGACTCAGTTATTCCTAAAATACAGTTTGCCGTGGAAATAATCCCACTGCTTTGTTAAGAGGCTAGTTAATACCATAGTCTTGTAGCTCATGAGGTCTCCTATTTTTATTTACTTCTTATTCCCTATGTCTTTAATTTAAATTTGGAAGATTATAGAGTGGAGACCATGTGTATGGTATTTATCTCCTCTACTCTGTCTAACATAGTACTGTTTAATAATTGCTGACTGCAGGGAAGAAGGAGTTAAAAGGTGACATAGTGGAGACTCATTAGTAGTGAATTTGGCAGTCTGTCTGCTGCTTTGGAGAGTGAGCGCATGTCAGCGTCTTTGTGTTGGGCACTGAGAGCCTGCAAGTTTCACGAGGGCAGAGAACGCGTCTCGCTGGTTCTCAGGCCACCGCGAGCACTCTAAGAATGCACATCGATGGGGATATTGGAGAGCGAGCTCTGAGGAAAAGCCCCACTGCCAGCCCTTGGTGCCTAGCCACAGCCCTTCTTTCCGTGCTGGAAAGACCTATGACCTTGAACTTGTTAACATTGTGAAATGCTGGGGAATCGAAGTGTTCGTCATATCATTCTCATAGTATAGAAGCGTGGTGTTGTTTTTTTTGTTTTTTTTGTTTTTAGTATTATGGGCATAAATTTTTTCTTTTATATCTTCCAAACAGATAGAACAGTTGAAACAAAAGGCAGATAAAAGAGTCAGAAGTGTAAGTAATTCTTTTATGGTGATATTGCTGATTTCTTTTTTTATCAGGCAGGGTACTTCTATATGATTTTTTAAAATTGCCTTTGATTGGAAACCCCTGGTTGGCTTTTATTAAGTAAGATTACTTAATAAATTTATTGAAGTTGAAAGGATGGATTCCCCCCCCCCCCGGGGGGAAGGGCGGGGTGGCGGGCTCAGGATGCCTTCAGGCAGGTCTGGTAAGGCATGAGGATATAGGGATTGAACCACAGCTACCTGAGCCTGACTGCTTTGTCTAAGCAGTCACTTAAACAACTGAGCTAATGGGCAGGCCCTCTGAAATTGAATGGAGTTTACTTTTGTTTTCATTTAAATAGTTTGAACTTGAGAGAATGTAGTCAATTTATATTGCCAGGATACAAAAAGTTTGTCCTCAATGTCGATTGTTGAGAAAAAAAACCTATCCTGATGCCCCAGTGGTATTGTATATAATGCCATTAGCCCTTGGTGCTAGTTAAGTTTAAATTAAATACAAGTAAAAGTTCAGTTCCTTATGTGCACTGGCTGTGTTATAAGTGCTTCGCAGCTACTCGTGTCCCATGGCACCCGCTGAAAACCACAGCTGCAGAACTGGAGATCGTTTCCGTCATTACAGACAGTTCCCTTGGACAGAACTGCTCTGAAATTCAATTCTTAGCAACTGTGTGCTTGAAATGAAGGATACAAAAGATCTGTGAATTCAGAGTCATAAGCATAAACTCATACAAGCTTAAATATCTCGTGGCTTCTCTTAGACAATAAACCCAAATTATTAATAAAGAGTAAGATAAGAGATAAAGGAACTGGAGAGGTAGAGCTTTCTCAGATGAGACGGAGATCGAGAATTGGAGAGGAGGAGGAGGAGAGCAAAGGGGATATGAAAAGAAGTTAAGATGTGTTGTATACATGCACCAACTCCATGCAGCGGATATGGACATTATGTACAGCAAACGCATGCTGATAAAAATTAGCCTCTTATTTTTAAAAGAACTTGTAACTGAGAGGCTAAAAGGGGGGCAGGCTGGATGGAGAACTAGAAAGGGAGGTTTTGTGCTGAGTACTTGGATCTACCATTAGAAGTTTAAGTTCAAACTTAAGAGAACTCAGATATTGTGAGTAAATCATTCGGTATTCTGATGCTGATAATAGGTTCGCTATAAGGTAATAGAAGATTATAGTGGTGCCTGCTGTCCTTTGAATAGAGGAATCAAAACCTTCTTCACAAGCCCCTGCACTGAAGAACCTCGAATACAGCTACACAAGGGGGAGTTCGTTTTAGCCACAAGAGGGTTACGGTAAGCATTAGAAAAAACTGATTCTTCTTTAATGGTAAAATTAGTGTCTCGCCTAAAAATTGAATTTAACCTTTTAAATATTTCAGATACTGGTTATATGGAGACAAAATTGTTGATGATTCCTTTATAGAAGGTATGGACATGGAAGGGTATGTACAAAGTGCAGGACTGCTAGCAATGATTCCAAATTTTACCAAAGTGATCTTTGTAAATAGTCACACATAATCAAATACATTCAGAAAACTGCATAGGAAAGCATCCACTTAAGCAACAGAAAGCTCTTGTCTTTCTCCATAGTGCTTATGCTTACCAGGTCTTTACAGTGAGAGCTAGCATTTGAGCTCCTGCTTGACTAGGTGATAGGCACTTGTGTGGTGCTTTACTTGCAGTATCAACATCCCCAGCAGACCTTCTATGTAGGTGCTGTCGTTTACATTTCAGAGGGAACTGAAGCATACAGTGGCTACGCAGCTTGTCCACAGCCACACAGTCAGGACAGGTAGAGCCAGGGCTCAAACCCAAGCAGTCTGACTAGACTCTGCCCCAAACCCCTGTACTTCCCCTTTGGGGCAGTAGTCCTCTTATGATTATAAAGATTAGTGGATTAAAACTTGCTTGATTTTTTTTTTTTTTTTTTTGGCGGAACCAGGGATTGAACTCAGGCCCTTACACTTGACCAGCAAATGCATATTCTACTGAGCCATCTCCCCAGTCCCCTATATTAGAAAAGGTCTAAGAAAGAAAGTCTCAAAGGCTAGAGGACGCTCATTCCCTGGAAAAGGTGTAGTACGTGGGGTACCAGAACACCTTTTATAATCATACACATATAAGTGAATATTTTACAAGTGAATATTCCAGGTGGGTACTGTCTTGAACCACAGTAATCCCTTTCCCAAATAATGGAATGTGGGAACTTCGTGGTTTCTATCTTGTTAAAAACATTTCTAAACCACGCTTTCCCTCCTCAAGCTGTGTGTATGTGGCAGGGGTATATGGGGGGCTATTAATTTGAAGTAAAAAGACTTCTTGGTCCCTGTAATGTCTCTGTGGTAGGTCATACTATTGCATCTCGGTCTGATTCTCTGCTTCAGGTGTGTCAAGAATAAGAGGGTGGTTCCCCAGAAACTGTGTGGAAAAATGTCCCTGTGATACTGAAACAGATCCGACCCCAGAAGGCGAGAAGAAAAACAGATAGCCACTGTTAAAATGAAATGATTCTTTAATTCTGCTTCATTACTTGAAAATTATACATATTACTGAAGAATTATGCAACAAGCCTACTCTGGTTAAGATGTTCTTTTCCTCAAAGGTGCCCTAGTGCCATGGTTTAAATATTTCTATTACTGATTTGGAATGGAGAAGCCATTCTGTGTATGCCTTTGAATTCCTTCCCCTTTTTATCACCTCTTCTTCCCCGCAGAAGGAAAAACATTTCACCCAAGTAGCTAATGGCATTCCTTCTGGGTTTTTCTTTATGCATTGTCTACTGTGGACTTCACTTGCAGATACAGTTTCCCTTTGCTAGGAGCATCTGCATGTGCCACTTCTTGTTTCCTTCTCAGTTGATGCTTCTTAAATACTCTAGCAACTGTAAGAACTTTGTCAGATTAAATATAAGCTCAAATTTTGTTACTTGTCTTTTAATAATGCAGATTTTGTCAGATGAAATAAAGATCAATGGATGTTCTGATAAATCATAGTTTTTACTTAATGCATTTTTATTTTTGTTGACTAAAGGTTTTGTCTTAGTTCCTTATGAAAAGCTATCCTGTTGCCTTGTGGGACATAGGCATCTTGAATCAAGACTCTTTAAGTCACCTCAATAGATGACTTATTAATGGCATATAGTGATCACAGTATTGTAGGAGGCATTAAGACCAGTGGTCTCAGACCCCTTATGCACATTTGACTTTATCAAAACCTGAAGCTTGCTTTTTTTTTTTTTTTTTTAATGTATTTAGTACAGGGTCTCACTATGCAGATCAGACTATAGTGATCCTCCTGTTTACAGCCTCCTGAGTGCTGGGATTACAGGCACATGCCACCTCACCTGGTCTCAGTTGCTGGTTCAGTGTGCCCAGGGCTTGGGGCCGGTGTGGCATGTGGTGCCAGGAATCGAACCCTCATCCCTGCACTTCCCTAAGCAAGCACTTAGTCTGCTGAGCTATCTCGCTGGCCCAAAACCTGAAGCTTTCATCTGGTGGGATCCATGCTGGTAGACTTGGAGTACAGAAGGAAGAACACCCATTTCACTGAACTACGCTAAATTGGTCCAGTGTTCCTTACTTGTTTGCAAGACAAGGAACTTTACATACTGGCTGCCAGTCTTGTAGTCGTTAACAATAAGTAGCACAGGAGACGTGGAGATTCGTCAGTGAACGAAGAATGAATCAGGGCTCTGCCTTCTTGCAGGGGGCAAGAGGTAGACGAGAGTGTCAGATGGTCATGTGGTGTGAAGAAGGTGGAACGTGTGTGAATTGGGACTTCAGCTGAGGGAACCAGTCATGTGCCGTTCAGGTGTCTGCACATAAGGCAGTGCAACAGCAGGAAGCAGGGATGCACCTGGCACAATTGAGGGACAAGAAGCAGTGGGGTGGCTGGAGTGAGTAGGGGAAGAAACGGGAAGTCAGCGAGGGAGCTGTACACACTCCTGCCTTTTTGTGTCCAACTCGGGCAGAGACATTTCTTTAGCGGTTTTAGGCTCAAGGTCTAGCGAGACCAACCTAGAACATTCTTAACTCCCAATTAGAAGTCTGAAAGACAGACTACTCAAGGTTAGAATACAGCAAGAGGGTGAAAGGGAAAATACAAATCGGTGCCGAGCATTTGGCTTGGGAGGTGGTGGAACGAAGGGATAAGCAGGACTGATTCTTTTGTTTCAATAATGATCCAATATGATTGTATACGGCACTTAACAGTTCCCATACCTGGGCTGTACGTCAGGCTATTAGTTCAGAGTCCCTGGCACAGCGCCTGGACATTAGTATGTTTTTAAACTTCCACGTAACTAGTGTGCAGGCAAATTGGAGAAGCACTAGTTACCCTGATGTGCAAGTGATCTTTGTTTACGACTGACTCTCATCAAGGTTCACGAGGCAACAAACACCACAACATATCTGTAAAGTTTATTTAAAGATTTTTACATTTACAAGGATAGGCAACATGGACTGTCTGACAGTAAGACACAGTAGTAGTTGGAGTCTGATGAAAATGGTTCCTTCACAGAAGATAAGGTATGGTATGGACAGCATGTTTGCCCATAGATCTTTGTTCCTAGTGCAGGAAGGTTTTATTCAGTGCTTGCTTCATTTACTGGAAAAGTTAACGACGTAAGTTTCAACTTCTTTCCCGAAGCTTCCAGCTCAGCAGCAAACTGTAAAGAACAGGTTTGGTCAGTATCTACCACTCCAGAAAGCCCTTAAGAACAGCATTCTGTTTGGATGCATCACAGATCAAATTTCTAAAACTCAAGTTAGATCCGATTTGATTTGAAACTGTCTCATTGCTATCTGTTTATCAATAAAACTTTGAAAAAAAAAAACACTCAAGTTAGAGATCTAACTAGAGAATTTAGGATTTGCTTGGTATAATCAGTTTTCCCTTACACATAGATTATAGTGTATTCAGAAGTACATATGCTCAGATCTAGTATGAATGGTGGGTTAAAATTTTTAGTGGCTTTATAAAGTAATTAGAAAGCATGAGCTGAAAACAGCTTTTCAGAACTTAAAGATTTCTTGGTTTGAACATGAAAAGGCTTAGGCAAAGGTAGGGCCTGCTGGCAAGCTAGGTTTTACTATAAAACAACATACATAATGAATCTTTTAGACCAGTAGTGGCAAACCTATGGCACGTGTGCCACAGTGGCTGTTTGTTATCACTGAAAGCTCTAAAAGCTTTTGCCATTGCTGTCTTAGGCCCTAGAACGGGAGGGGGGGTGTCACAGATAAAAATGGCGTTAAGCTAGAGAGGGTAAGGAAGGGAACCCGAACAAAATGGACCTTTGAGAGAGCAAGTTGATCAAAGTGGCCCTCTAAAATCAACATTTAAGATACAAAGCACAGGATTTGTTTATTTCAGGGGTAGGCTTCTGTATAGAAGTCTTCCAGTATTAAAAAGAAAAGCCAGATTGTGACAGTTCTGTAAGTAAAACATCAGGTAGGAGGAAGGTAAAATGAATAGGAGAATAGGTTTTAATCCTGACTCTCACAAGGCAGCGTAGGGTGGGCAAGCAGGTTGCTGTGAGCCCCGTCAGCCCTACATACCTTATCCTAGTCCTGAGCACTCTCATAGAGGCTGTCAATCTGGGCCCGAAAGTGTTTGGCAAGTTCTCCTCGTTTTGCTTTCATTGTTGGTGTCAGGAGTCCATTTTCAATGGAAAATGCTTCTGGATGAACAAAAATGTTTTTGACCTAGAAGGTGAGGTAAACACATGCATACATGTTTATTAGTACTTTAAACTTTGCTGCACGGTCCTCTAGCACCCTGTGAAGAATTTCAAAGAATATTCCACCTTATAAAAGTGGGTTTGCCATAGTGGCGGGTAGTGACAGTAACCATGCCCATTCTCATGCTTATAATTTGAGAAAGAAATGAGCAAGAATAAGGAGAATAAATGAATAATGAACAGCAAAAAGGGCAATATGGCTAACTACAAAAGGCTACTACCACTTGTGGTTAAGGGTATAAAATCTAACATTAATTCTTTGTAAACTAAAACTCCTTTAGGTATAGAAACTTTAAATAAAATCTACTATGACAATAACTAGGATGACATCCATGATACATACCTGTTCAAAGGATTTGAGGCCATTTTCTTTCCCAACTTTCTGTAAGTCTTTTAAAATGCCTTCTTTCACGATCTAAGATACAAAACATCCTTTAAAATATAGCCATTTGTAGCAGACCCTTTGTGAATGGCTAAGCCAACAGAAAATGCCTGGGATAAAAGATTCCTAGCGTAAACATGGATACAAAAGTATGTACAATCATGTTATACATCTTATATTTATCAAAGAAAAAGAAAATGCAAATTTAAATGTTAATGGAGATCTTTTCTGAACGATGTTTCTGTTCTCTTCCGATTCTCTTGGTTCCTACAAGGAACATATTACTATAAAAAGAGAGTTTTGTTTTATTCTTCAACTCCTCCTATCTCCCAAGCTAATAAAACTATTCAGTCTCGTTGGACTGTAGTGACAAGTCACAGAAACAGGAAGATTCAGTTCCTCCAGAGAGGAGGCACCAGGAGCCCCAGGATGCACTCACTGGTAGAGGCTCCTCTCGCGCAATGGGCCAGTAGGTATGTGTTAGTTTTCCAAGACAGACTTACATTGGATTGGCACAGTTCTTCAAAAGATCCCTGGATCCCAAGCTTGGCTGCAAATGAGGGAAGTACATCAGGGTCAGGAACCACCACTCCTACTAAAGATGACTGGAAAGGAAACAAAAAGTACGGGGACATATGAGGACTGATGTAATGTCACCCGGAGGGGAAAACTAACAGGGTTATAGATATCACCCCCAAGCTTCAAATGTAGTAACTAGTGTCCTGCTCTCTTTTTCTCATTGTGTTCCAAAGCCCCATGAAACTCCAGTCCCATTGTCCCACTCTACAGAGATGTTCTATTCCATTTGAATCTTCAGATGGAGGTGGTGGTCATAGTGCAAAGAACGTTTAGCCTTTCCTTCTCAACAGTCTTACCTCCCACCTCCCACCAGAAAAGGAAGCCAAGTTTGTTGTTCTAGGGGAATTCCTGGAGTCCAAACTAAGTGCAGAGTGGGTTATGATATGGAATAAAAGCTGCCTGTAGTAGAGCTGTTTTATCAATTCTGCTGACTTACTTTACAAAGACCATCAGAGCTTCAGAATTATTTTTTCATTAATATTGCCTAATTTGAGGTTCAGAATGTAGCTCTATTTTGTCAGTCTTATAAACTGGATCTTTTCATCCTGAAACCACCTGTCCTAATTCCCTGTAACCACAGGGACAAGCATGGTCTGTTCCTGAAAACAGGTATAATTAAACACTATATATTACCTGTAAGCTCTCCCCATAAATAAAAATTTGTGACACTGGAGCACTCCTGGCATAGATGTTTTCTATCTTCTCTGGAGCAATGTATTCTCCTTGTGCCAGCTTGAAAATGTTCTTTTTCCGGTCAACGATCTTCAGAGTTCCGTTCTGTATGAGGCAGATAAGCAGCATAAGCATTTGAACCTTAGGAGTGGTATCATTTGTTAGTTTGAGGAAATCTCAGGTATTACCTTGCCTTAAAATTGATTTCTTGTTCTTGTACATCAATAATGAACTCACTGAGAAGGAAATTAGAAAAACAACAGTATTGAAAACGATACCAAAAAAAATCAAATATTTAGGAATTTACATATAAGGAAGTGAAAGACCTCTGCAACAAAACTACAGTATTTTGAAAAAGAGAGGCCCTGGGGAGATAGCTCAGCGGCTTAACCGCCTGCCTAGCAAGCGCAAGGTCCCGAGTTTGATCCCCAGTACCAACAAAAAAAAAGCATTTAGAAAATATTTTGGGGGCCTGGCCCTAGCTCAGGCCTTTAAGTGGCTGCTTCCACAAAGCTGTCAGCCTCAGGTTGCTGGAGTTCGAACCTCCCACCTCTCCCGCTGGCCAAAAGTGCCCTGAAGGCATTCGAGGAACCAAAAAAAAAAAAAGAAAAAGAGTAAA